CCTTCCTTACATTCTCTCTCTTCTCCCATCCTTCTCCCATATTATCTCCAGAATCTGTAACCATTTTCAACGCTTCTGTGTCCTCCAACCTCTCAGTTTCCATCAGAGAGTGCAGACAGTCTGTATATGTTAAGTGGAGAGAGACATACAGTGTCTCTCTTTCATAGCCTGGTTTGCTTCACTCAGAAGCAAATCTTCCTTATGTTTCCATTTTGCCACTGAAAAAGACAAATGCTGAGAATTACTGATCTATAGTGTAAACTGCAGGAAAGGGTTTTCTCTGTCCTACTGATGCCCTCTGATATAGTTTGAGTTACTAGTTCTTCTTAGGAAGAAATCTAAGATCAAATTAAAATTGATAGAATTCTTTCTAAAACTTCTATGATTGTTGATTTTATATATCAACTTGATCAGGCCATTGGAATATCCAGGTATCTGGTTAAACATGATTTCTAGTTGTGTCTGTGAGGATGTTTCCAGAATAGATTAACATTTCATTGGTGGATTGAGTAAAGAAGATGGCCTTCCTCAATGTAGGTGGACATCATCTGACCCACTGAGGAACAATGGCCTGAAAACATCAATAAAAGCAGAGGAAAGTTGAATTCACTCTTTCTCAGCCTGATTGCTTGAACAGAGATATTCTGCCCTTGGGCTGGAACTTACACTCTGGGATTTCCTGGATCTCAGGATCTCAGATTCAATTTGGAATTTATACCATCAACTTTCCTTCTCTTCCAGGTTGGAAATCTTATCTCAGTCTCCAAAATTGTGAGATCAATTCTTTAACATCAATCTCAAGTATGTACATATTCAGTTTTTCTGGGGAGTACTGACTAATACACTCTCAATACATTCTAAAGAAATTGAGTGATAGAGCCATCAAAAGAGTAGAAGAAAATACATACCTTCTATTTGAATTATTTTATCAATATCCATTTCTTTTCCCTCCCACCCATTTTTTTCTTCTGTGTAACAATAAATAACTATATCCAGTGATGACCAACTGGAATGAAATTCCACTGTGAATGTCTTCGGAAGGCTTGGAGTTACAGAGTGTATATTTTTACTAGATTGTGCTTCTTTTCTTCTCAAATGGCATGCCCAGAGCAATTTCCAAAAAGAAATATCCCATGCCATCACCAAATAAGTGTTTTTCTCCTTCGTGGCACCAGCTATCTTGTGGCCCACTCTGGAACACTAAGGTTTGCCCAGTTAGTATCAGACAGGTAAACTTGAAGTAACAGAGGTGGACTCAACACAGAGCAGATTACATCAAGTTCAGATTGGCTTTTTTTTTTTTTAATCATTACCACCAAATTTTCAATAATAGCATTGTTTAAATGAGTCTTAATGCTACCATGCTATTAGTAAATTTATATACAAGCATTCAGAAAAAGAATAAAGCTGAACCTACAAGGCATCAAGAAATAAAATTCCAAAAGTTATTTTAAAAACAAAGTTGCAGTTTCTAAATATTCTTTTCTACAGAGGTCAAGTGATCAAAATTTAGAACCTCAGAGGACAGATACATGATCACAGTGATGACTTTAATGAGGAAAATCATCAACTGGGGAATGACACAGGGAAAATTTAACAAGATCAGACTTGCTTCGACATTCCATAACCTTTCCTAAATAAAATAATTATGCCATGTCAAATTAATCTCTCATCTCTCGCAGTTTTAAATACTTGAGATAGAATTACATTATTTTCCTCCTGCCAAATCAGTTTTTGGATTGACCTGTTCCAATTTGCATTCAGACATGACCATCTAATTTTAAATGAAGTGAGGGCCTCAGATCCTTGATCCTCTCCTGATGCCTATTCCAACCACTCCATGTTTACTATACTTTATGATCTTTCTAGATATTCTGTTTTTCAGATATGAAAGTGTCATCACTTTGAAATGCTTCTGGCTAATTTCAGAATGGGACATAAGCATCCTAGTTTTGTCTCAATGGATGTAGAGAAAGATCATGCAAAACTTCAAAACTTCAACTGGGATACATCTTGGATCTGGCTATAGACTGAGTGAGAATTAAACCTTGAGTCTTGTGGATGGAAATGCAAATCTCTAGAGCAGCTCGTCACTGAATGTCCTAATTGGCACACTTCACGAAAGGATCAGCTTACCCTCAGTATGTTTTTTATAGCATGTCCAGTCCAAATTTTTTTTAAAAATCTAATAGTATAGATTTATTAAATACTTATTTGTATATTTGTACTTAATATTTGTTAAGCAGTTAGGCTTATACCTCTTGATAAGCATTTAATAACTTGGTCGTAATTTGAAAAACCAATATAGATATATTGGGGAAAAAAAAAAGAAAATATCAACTTCACTCTACACCAATACTGACCCAGTGAGCATACTAAGCATTCTCAAGACTGTTGGGTAGTGTTTTGAGTATTTAGGCAGTTTACAATATAAAAAATATATTGAGAAAATTTTATAAAGCTAAGGAAAGTATATCACTGGAAACAATAATTATTTCCAAGTTAACTCCGTGACCTAGTTTTTATTGGACTTATATTAAATTGACAAGTAATAAGCATACGTATTTATGGGATATAATGTGACATTTCAATACATGTATGCAATGTATAATGGTTGAATAAGGATATTTATTTTATCTATTTTTTTTTGAGTCACAAATTTCAACTTTACTTCAGATATACATTTCTTTCTTTCTTCTTTTTTTGGTCTGCAAAGGCTATATTTCCACATCTTCATTTTGTATCCATAAATTGTTATCTATTTAGAGTCCTGTAAGACCTCTCAAAGGACTAATTAAAATATAGGCTAGAGTTAGCTGGTGGAATAGTGGTTAAGAAGGCTGGATGTCACATCGCCAATGGTATGGCTCAAGTCCCAGACTTGGCATCTGAGAAACACACCAGGTACATGTTTGTGTGTCCAAAATCCAGAAAGGAGTGAGAAATGGAGAAGGCATTGCAGTGTGTCTCTTCCCATGGGGGAGTGCTTTCTCTCTCTCTCTTTCTCTCCTTTCTCTCTCTCTCTCTCCTCTCTCTCCTCTCCAGTGATTGCCCAAGTCCACTAGTAAAAATATTTAAATGGGCTAATTAATTCTGAATTATTAATTGTTCAGCATTGTATCTAACTCTTAATCCTATCTTCATTCTTGTTACATCCTTCCTTTTTTACTTCTTCCACCTTTACTCCACTTGCTTTTAATCTCTTTAGTCCTAGAATAACACTGGAAGAGAGTAGTAAAGAAAAAAATAAAGAGAAGATGAGATTTCAATGGATTCATATCCCATCTTCAAGTACAGCTTATTTTGTCTGTCTTTCCTCCTTCTCGTATTCTTCCTTCTTTCTAATTCTGTTTAAGAGTACAGAAAGATTTATAAAGTAGAGTCTACAAATTTCAGTACTTCTAATGTCTACCAGCTATACAGTATAAAGGTAATTTTTAAAAAAGCAAACAAACAAAACACTAAAGCTATCTTAGAAATCAGAAAAATTGATATTTATATACCATCTGTGTCACTTTTCTGGTTAAATTATGAAACTTCACTGAGTCTCAGTTACTTCATTTACAAAATTCAAAAATGCACACATTTTTATCCATTAAATAAGATTATGAATATAAGAAATTTTGTTTATATGGGGGACCAGCAGTTAGCACAGTGGCTATGTCACTGGACTCCCATGCAGTTGACGGTGATTTGAGTCCCAGACCTGGTGACTTGTGAATACGTGCTCAAGATCCCAAGAGGAATGGAAGAGAAGGGATTGCAGTGTGGCCATCCCCCCCTGGGGGGTAATTTCCCATTTTCTGTCTCTCTGTCCCTTGCTGTCTTTCTGGCGAGTGCATGCACTCTATAGCAAAAATCTCTCTCTCAAAAAAAAAAGAAAAAAAATATTTTGTTTATAGTATGAAATACAGTAGACATATTATAATCTTCAAACTTTAACAGTTGCTGGTATCTTATAATGAATTCATATCACCTATTAATGTAGGAATTACTCCTTCCAAAATATATGTGGATATATATACATATATATATATATATGTATATATATATACACCCACACATATATATTTGTGGGTGTATATATATATACCCACATATATATATGTGTGTGTGGTGTGTTTGTATTGTGTGTATAAATATGCATTATACACACACACATATACTCCTTATATTACTGTAACTACATATATATGTGTGTATATATATATATGTATAATTATCTGTTAATGTAGGAATAACTCCTTTAATGTACATAAAATTTCTGTCCTAATCCTCACCTTTAGTATAAACTCTCTGAATTAAATTTATATCTTTGACTTATTGAGGAATGACTAAGCTATGGCACTTTTAAATTCTAGCAGTGTTCTGTCTGTAGCTCTAATTCAGATTGATTTAGTGATAATAGCGAAATGTGCAATTGGTTATATTTTAATCACTAAAAGCATGATTGTTTTCTATAGCATCTTCTTGGCTTTATTACATTGCTCCAATGTGCAGCACACATTGCACCTGTTTCTATAAAAAGTAAATTAATATTCAAGAATTAACATACAAGCATATGTTCAAATTATTTATAGGCTGTTCTAAAAATAAGATGTATTCTGGGCACAAGTGCAATGAATGAATTAATCAATTTCCAATAAAAATAGCCATAATCTTGCTTTAAAGAGAAGAAAATATTGTTAAAAAAGTTAGACATTGTATCAATTATAGTCCATAAGATCAAATTCAATGTTAAGTTACATTAGTTGCACATTTGAACTCCTGACATTGTGGAAGATGTGGTTCTGCACCCTAAAAACAAATAAACACTAAAGATAATTTTCAGTAAACATCCTTTAGTCACATAACAATCCTATTAGGAGAGCTGTGGTCTGTCTCACTTCTATGAAATAGTTGAGTTAAGATAATTGTTATTCTACCACCATCTCCTGCAGTAATCCTGTCTGGTGTGGTAACCCTTGCAACCTGGATGGGAGCACGATTCCTAGAAAGTCATGGTGTTGAAAGTTCTGTGCATGCTGAAGAGTGATGGCCAAGTGCAGGGCCCCAACCACTTAGAACAGAAGGAGAATGGTCCAGTTGTCATAACTGGATGCTTCGTGGGGTTGACTGAAGGCCAGCGCAGATGCTATGTCCATCAGTTTGGAGATAATTCGCAAGGCTGTACCAGTGCTGGTCCTCACTTTAACCCAAAATCCAAAAAATATGGTGAGCCAAATGATCAAGAAAGGCATGTTGGAGACCTGGGCAATGTGACTGCAGGCAAAGATGGTGTGACCAATGTGTCTATTGAAGATATTGTGATCTCATTTTCAGGAGCTCATTCCATCACTGGCCACAGAATGGTGGTCCATGAAAAAGTAGATGACTTGGGCAGAGGTAGAAATGAAGAAAGCACAAAGACAGGAAATGCTGGAAGTCCTTTGACTTGTGGTGTAATTAGGATCACTCAGTAAACGTTCCCTAGAAAGTGATGGTTCGAGTCCCAGAAACACATCTGTTATCTTGCTATCTGTAGAAATTTAACTTGATAAACATTAAACACTGTAATCTTTTTTTAAAAAGGTAAAATGGTATATTTCCTTGACTTTTAACAAAATTAACAGCAGCTCCCTGGGAAAAGGACCCCGTCAAGAATGGAAATGACTCACCTAATATCAACATTGACTTAAATTTATTTTCATTCAATATGTCAAATATTAACTTATCCTTTCAGAGTCATGAGTTTATTTGATACATATGAAATGAAGGATGGATTCTAAAAAAAAGGCCTAGAATCTATCTATTGATCTCTCTATATTGCTTTTCCTTAAATTTGCCATAGAGTACATGTGCTTGCTGGAGAGAGAGAGAGAGGAAAAAAGAGAGAGAGAGAGAAAGCAAGAAATCAGCCCCTGGAAGGGGGTGGGTGATGGTCATGCTGCAATACCTACTCCTCCATTCTCCTTTTGGGATTTTTGGCACACAGACACACATGCCCAGGATGTTTGTCAAGTCACCATATCCAGGAATGTAACCACACAGTGGCCCCATGTAGGATTCAGGTGCCTTAACTGCCGTACCATCTGGCTGGCTAAGCATATTTTAATTAATTCATTCATTCATTAATAAATAGCGGTGTCTACAAGATGCTAGAAACTTTTCAAAGTCCTGGAAATCCAAAAGTAGAGACAACTTAATCATAGTCTTTCATTGAATTAAGCAGCACATAATTGTAGCATATACATAATTATTATAGTGCATGCATAATTTTAAGCATGTTTACGTAACTATGGCACATAAGTGTGGTAACTTTACTGTGATAAGACTTACAATACAAGTATGAAGAACCATTCTGTTGTATAAGAGGCAGAATTTGACTGCATAAAGAGTGTATAGAATGCTTCTTTGTGTCATATGACAGGTTAGCAACGCATTATGAAGTTTTCCTTAAAGTATATTATTACTATTTCTATTCTGCCATGCAGTTATTGCTATTCCTATTCTTTAAGTATTTATTTAATTAATTTAATTTCATTTACCATGTGTTCATAGTACAATTTTCTTTATGTACTCCAATTACCTAATTACCGTTAACAATAGCTATCATTGAGTATTTACACTGTGACAGATGCTGTTAACTTCTTCCCATACATCAACTTAATTATTTTTTAAAATAATGATTTATATAATTTTATTTATCTTTTTTTGTTTGTTTGTTTTTGTTTTGTTATAGAATTTGTGCACGCACCAGAGAGAGACTTTTTTTTTAAGAGAGAAAGTAAGAAAGCAAATTGCTAGGTCAAGGACTTGAACCACGTTCGGCCATGTGGGAGTCCAGTGCCCTTAATCACCATGCCTTCTGCTGGTCCCAATTTATTTATTTTTTTAACAACTCATGAAATGGTGACCATTGTTATATTTTACAGGTGAGAAAACTCAGGTTCAGACAGGGTAAGTAATACTCCCTAGGTCACCAGCTAGAAGGGTAGACAGAAGGTTAGGATTTAAAGTCAGGCCACTCTGACTTCAAAACCCAGAAGTTTAACATCAAAATTGTGTCACCTCCCACTGCCCCACCATGGCTCTTCTCTCTGATTGTACTCAGTAACTGAGAAACTTCCTCTTAGATATTTACTTACTAAGTAAATAAATATTAATATTTAAAGTGTTCTTATTAATTTATAATTATATATTCCAGACACTCAGTCTACATTTTTACATGTTCATCTTCAAACTGGTGGTGGCTGGCTTGCCGGCTTGCTCATTTTCACTCTAGTGGAGACTTTTTTATAGAACACATACTATGGTTAACCAGGCGTGAAAGGATTAAGAGGGAAAGTTCACATCTCTATTTTATGCTGGAAAGCTAATGAGAAGTCCCACACAAATACAGTCTAATTCCTATTGTTTTTATTGTTTTCCATGAGCAAGAGAGACATAAAGAGAAAAAGAGAGAGAGAGCACCTTCAACAGGTCTTGAGGCTGCAATTCACTCCCACCTCTGATCATGGGCATACATGTGCCCAGCATGTATATAGAGTGAACAAAGAAACTTTAATAATAGAGATACTAATATGTGTCATTTTTGCATTTCCTGATTTGTTGACATCTTTAGCTATCTTATCCAAAATTTTCCCAGATGTGAAAGAAATGTGTCCATTTCTTCCCTGCTAGGCTCATAAGACTGCTGTAAGAATGAAAAAGAACCCTTATTGTAAAGTGTTTGGAAACAATAAGAAATAACATACAGATCCAGCAGATGGTGTGGAGGTTAAGGCACTAGATCCAACATGACCAACTTTGTGGTTCAAGTACTATACCTGGCAGCATGAAAATCACAGCAGGCACGTGTGTGTGCATGCCCAAAATCCTGAGAGGAGACTGGAGGAAAAGGATTGCAGGGGATCACCCCATCCCCCTGGAGGATGACTTCTTATTTTCCCTCTCTCTCTCATAGTCTCTGTGCACCACATAACAAAACAAAACAAGACACAAACATTTGAGTTATCTGTGTAGTTTCTCATTTATCAACTTCCTGTTTATTCAGCTTAAAGTGTATTTTTAAGTATCTCTCCTCTCTCTCTCTCTCTATATATATATATATATATATATATATATATTCCTTTTATTTAGTAGCACATTCTACCACAACAGTATCCAGTATACTTCAGTAGATAGCTCAGTATATATATTCTCTTCAGGGATCATAAATTCTGCTTTCTGTAACCCATGGGAAGGGACATTGGTCTGACTATACAGCACCGGGAAAAAGCTAGGTATTTGGATGCCTTTATGATCAGGACATCCCAAATTCCAGGTTTGCACGGAGAATTGTTTTGAAAATCAGCCATTTCTTAAGTCTGACTGTGGCCCGTGGATGTGGCCCTTACACTGATGGGCAGGTGTTGGGTTAGGTCTGGTCTGCTGGGAAGGTTACTAGTTAGGACAGCCCCTCTGCTTCTTAGTACCCAAACACGGTTACTGTGGCTCCTCTACTATCCCCTTTGACTTTTCATTTTCATTTCTTTTTTGAAAAAAATTTCTTTATTTAGTGGATTTTCAGAATGAAAACTGAACACATGTTTTCAATTCATGTTTTAATTGAGAGTGACCAGAAGTACATAAATTGTTCATGCTATAGTATCATTTTAAAGCAGTCTAGGGACCCTTGCCGCCTGCATTGCAGAACGAACTCCACACTCCTTAGTATGGCTTGAAATATTTCTCAAAACTGAGATCCAGTTCTCCTGGCTCCCTTTCACTCTACATTCTCCCTTCGGTAAAGTTAACTTCTATACACGATGAACATTCTGCCATCCCTTGAACCACCTGTTACTTACACCTCTTCTGTGGAATATCTCCTTACTCGCCTTCCTAATTCCTGACCCCTTCAAAGTGACTCGTTTCCCCGTTGTTTCTCCCTTAATACAGGAAAATCTGTCATATTCATGCCCTTCATGCCGTAATGTATTAAGATTGGCTAAAAATCTGTCATTGCCTCTTCCCAGCCTGTCTCCCATCTTTTGTGTGCCTTCAAGTTAGGATTTTGGCCTTTTCATTTTTATTAGTTTCACCCAACATAGTGGCTAATACAAAATGTGTATTCTCTAGATATTTTTGGAATACAATGCAGTATTATTTAGGTTTATATTGTGCAGAAAGATGGGCCAATGATTGGGTTTGAGCAGTATATTTTGTTTTGACAAACTATTATAGCTTATATATTTACATGTATTATATAGTTGGACATATATTTACTGAGTACCTACTATGTTCAGTGCTAAATTCCTAATACCAGTTAGCCTTCTTGTGATAATTTTCCCTGAGGAGACTAAAAATAGCTGCCAGTATTCCAAGCTCCATAAAATATGCCTAAAAAGCTACTTAGTTAAAACAAAAATAAGCAAACTTTAAAAAACTCTCTCTCTCTTACTCTCTCTCTCTCTCTCTCTCTCTTTCTCTCTCTCTCACACACACACACACACACACAATTTATACTGCATTAGGTCTATTATTCCCAGTCAGCTGGCATCTTATGGAAACAGAATGAGCACTTAACCTCAAGCCAAACAGACAAAGGTTGGAATCTTAATCTCACTGGCTAGCTAACTACAGCCAAGTTTTTATATCCAGAAAACAGTGATATAATACCAACTTTATTGCTGTTGAGGACTAAATAAGTTGTTTTAGTCTCACGCTCCTCCACTTGGCTGTACATTATCTGAAAATAAGGATCTAGTCTATTTTATTTGCTTCTATATCCACAGCTTGTGGTGAACTCTTAATAAATATCCATTGCATGGATAACTGAGCAGATGAATTAATTAGCGCATTATATGTGTTAATTTCAAGCGTGGTGAAGAGGAGGAATAATTATGCTTTTCTTTGCTCTTTTTCTTCTCTTTCCTTCTCTATTGTTCTCCCTCCTTCCCTGCTTTCTTCTCTTTTTCCTTCTTTTTTCCCTTTCTCCCTTCTAATATGTACAAAAATTCTTATTATTCAATTATTTCTGCTATAATCTCCTGTAAATTAACTGGGCTATAAAAGGTTAGTGAATAATGAATTACCATATACACTATTCCAGTAAGAAATACAGAAAAAATGTTAGATATGAATCTCTTTATATTTGTAGTAAGGCTTCTTGTCAACAATAGACTATTAATAATTAAGGGTTTTTTTTAAGTTTTTGCCTTAGGGTGCATGTGCTCACGAGAGAGAGAGAGACAAAGACATCGAGAGAGAAAGTGAGAAATCACTTCCCAGGGGGAATAGCCATGCTGCAATCTCTTCTCCTCCATTCTTCTCCTGGAATCTTTGGAATGAACACACAAGTGCCTGGTGTGCTTTTCAAACCATTGGTCCCTGGACTCCAACCATGGTCGACCATGTGGGAGATCAGCAACATAACAGCTACGTCAACTACAGGCCCCAGTAGTTAATTTTCAGGGGAGCTGAAAGTCATAGATGAATTTCT